ATCTTGATATAAAGAAATCACTGGACCTTCTGAGGAAGTGGCAGCAGTCCGGCTCCACCAAAGACCATCTTGGAGCTGGTAGAAGAAGTGAAGTCGTTGAGACTTCCTAATGAGGAAAAGGACAAACAGATCGCTGTGTTGGAGAACCGACTGGCAGATTTGGAGAAACACAACAGGATAAATGTGATTTTCACCGGACTGTGAGTCGAGCCCTGTTCATATGGCAGCTCGGTGGTCTGCGCTCCATTTGTCCAGTAAACCATCAGCTGAAGTGTTTGACTCCACAGAGAAACAGCTGGATTCTTTCCTTTGGACCAAGGGGATAGAGGTGGACAGTGATACCGTGGGACAGAGATGTGCACAAGTCTTTGTTTTTGCAAGTCCAAGTCTCGTTGCATCACTTAACTGGCAGCTTGATCAAGGTATTCTGTCCATACTAGATTATATTTTAATTGAATATTAAAACATAGTATGATGTTTTAATAACACCTTTACAACAAAAATTTCAAAATACAGATAAAGTTAAGGTTAAAGACCCTAAAGACATGGGTTAAGGTTGAAATAACAACAATAACAACAATCAAGCATTTAGAATGATGTTAACAGATGGTCTCCTGTCCTGAGCCTGGTTCTGCTGGAGGTTTCTTCCTGATTAGCAGGGAGTTTTTCCTCTCCACCGTTTGCTCAGGATGGAGACTGTGATGAAGTGATTCAACACAATCTGCTGCTTTCTTCTTTACATTGTTCTTTTTATCTACAGTGTCCTGAGACAACGTATGTTGGGACTTGGTGCTGTATAAATAAACTGAGTTGAAATGAAGACACATGTCCCAGCTCATGTGTCTTCCAGATGAAAGACGAGACAAACAGCAAGCAGAGACTCTTACCTGCCAATCAAAGCCTCCTGTGACTGAGCTGTGGTTTGAAACAGGACATCTGTCGGTGGTCTCAGACTCTGGGTTTGATCCCGGGGTGAGGACGACTATCAGCCTCCGGCTCTGCCTCAGGCACCTCTCCACCAGCTCCAGACGATCTGTGCTCACAAAAAGCTTCATGACTTTATGTTTTGTTTGACAGATTATGTGTGATCACACGAAATACTCGTCTATAAAAACAGATCTGTTGTTAGATTTGACAGGTTCAGCACAGGTTCTACATGTTCTAACCCTACATCACCATGTGTATCATATTTGATACGCAGGATTCTGTGACTTATATTTTATCAACGTGGTCAATATTTTCCTCAAAAACCTGTTGTATTTCATGTGACACCTGTATTCTGCTCTCTAGTGGATCATCAATGTACTGCAGGAACTTCCTGCAGTACATTGATAATCCACCAGAGGGCAGAATACAGGAAGTGGAACTTCTTTTTTTTCTTTGCCTTTTCAAAATGTCTGCTGACATGAGGTCATCCACGCATTTTTTTTCTGGAAAACTTTTGCTAATTTTGGAGAAGTTATGATAAGAATAACATCAATATTGTTTGTAATTCTTTAATAAATACTTTGTGTTGAAACAATGCATATCTATTTAAAATAATTTTAATAATACAGTTGAACCATGTTAAAAATGTGTGTATCAAACTTGATACTGCAGGTGCTCCAGTCCTGAATTGTCATGTGACATTTTAGTAATTTTAATAATTTAATCAACAGTATTCTTGCCACAATACAACACACATTACTTTGGATGATTGGTTAATTACTAAAATGCCATTTGAAAACATATTTAGGCTATTTTCAAAGTGGTTCCTTTGAAATATAATCTCTACGCTGTTCTGACTAAATATTTACATGTTAGATGTCAAAGAAAACTGAGGAAGAAGAGAGAAAAAATAAAGTAAGAAAATGTCATCAATATGATAATAGATGGTATTTTTTTATAAAGTATAAGGTACATCTGTGCCTGAACAAGGACACAAACTGTATTTGTGTTTTACCACCAAGTGAAATAAATGGCTGTAAAAACTTCATTGTAAAAAAAAAAACAAAGAAGTAAACTTCCTACAGTGTTCAAAACTTGTTAAAAGTTATGGTCAAATCTGTCTTTTGTTTCTTAATTTAACTTTGTTGTGAGCAAAATGTTACTAAAACAGCCCAGTGGATCAGATTTGATACAAAAATATATCATAAACAAAGTCATGTGGCAAAAAAAAGGATTTTGTTTAAAGGCCCAATAAACATGTCAGTTCTAAAAAAAGAGAGACTTTTCAGATTATTTTTAAAGGGTTAGGCTTTAAAGGGTTAATGAAGAAAGTCAGACCTTGTCCTGGAATGTCGTCTCTGCCTTGGATGAAGAGTCGATATCCACACTTGTCTTCGAGCACTGAGGGCAACGCTGATGAGACGAAACGACAGATTCTGTCCTCAGTGTCTCTGTCCAGCTCCTGGGTCTGGTACACCACGTAGGCATCGTACAATTTTACATCTGCAACACAAACAAATCAACACCAGTTATTTTATAACTGCTTTAAATGTTTCAGTAACTGTTCAGCTGTTTTCTCCCTCTTTTAGTGACTCAAAGCTTCCTCCAGGTGTTTCATTTGGCCTGTGTGACACCAGGAACACATCCAGGAAAGAAGACGTCTCTGTTTGCTCACAAAATCTCTTCAGCTGATGTTTGAACGGTTACACAAACAGAAACCCTTCCTGCACTGCTCCACATGAAGATGGGACGTACTGGGATCAGACCTGTGGTCCTTTATTTATCTCATGACATCAGTGAAGTAAAAAAACATTAGAATGCAGCAAAGAAAGAAGAGCCTGGTCCTGCAGGAAACAGAAATGCTTCATCAGAGTTTTGTGTTAACCACTGTAGTGGGAGGACACATCCTGTGGTTGTGGAGCAGATGTGCATCTTTCAGAAGAACTTGATCATAGGTCTGCATCATGAAACCTTCAGTGAGGTGGAGAAATGTCTTACAACTGACAACGAAGTGTCTTAAAACACAGGAAGGAGAGACGCAGAAAATTAACCACAACTCTGAATAAAATAACTTAAAGTTTCTAAAATTTGAAAAGGGCTTTTGTAAACACACAAAAAGAACAAATTAAATGATTATTATTAAACCAGCAAATATCTGTTATGGATAACCTTTTAAACAACCTCAGTTTACACATTTTAAAGATTAAAAATGTTTCAAGACTAGAAACCTGACTTTGGGAGGGTCTGCTCACACTGTAATGGTACGCTAATAAAAGAAGCAGAAGTAGCTAGCTGCTGCTTCTGCTGCAGGAAATAATCCTGAGTGATTTAACTTTATTAATATCAGGTTCATTTATCTTGTCATTATTTGTAATTGTATGATTTCTTAATTTAAGTTAAAACATGCAAGAGACAAAGCATTTTTTCTTCATTATGAACACAGGTCAGTTCAGTGCATCACCAAAAGGATCCACTGGGAGGACTCAGGTTCCCTGTGGCTCAGTACAGACGAGTGAACGGTGATCTCCTGTGTTCGTTTTCTCTTATTATCTCCCTGTTTTAAAGGACTAACACTTATTTACACTAGAAAATCACTGAACTGTGTAAAAACAGCTGTGTAATGTTAAACTGATCAGGGTGGTTTTTGAAATAACGTTCACAAATGTTATGAGACCAACCTGTTCTGTTCAGACTAGCCATTAGCTCGTCAGTCTGACTTTATTTTTCCCAAACTGAGAAGCTACAGTACCTACACCTCACCAGGTAAGTTATTAAAGGTTCATAACCTTACATTGAAATATACAAACATAAACTTGTCCTTTTAACAACTGATGAAATTATTAAACAACAACTTACTGCAACTTTTATATTTATTTTAATATATATATACTGTATATACAGTATATATATATATACTG